GCGCGCATGCGGTCGCGTGGCCATTACGAATTATAAATAGGGAGTAATCTGTGCATGCATCACGCTACTCTACGATCACCTTTGAAGATGAGTTCTCGACAAAATCCGAAACTGCCAATAGAGGAGAATATGCGTGGATCGCATCTTCTTCTTCTGAAAATCCGAAACGTCAGGTCAATAAACTTCTTGTTCCAGCGATTGCATTTTCTACTTCTGAACAACGTAATTAACTAATATTTCACGGTTTGCAGCCGTTCATCCTGCCGTGAGTGAAAATCTTGGGAATGGGTTGCTGGATACTTAATATTACAGGCCTACTTAAGTAATTATTGGTGGATTTTTCGTAGGATAGGAAATCTACTGCACAAAGGCTTCACAAAGTTACATGTGCGTCCCAAATACCGTGGTCAGTCTGGGCTTTCTGGTATAATCAGGAGTTCTCTACGTGCTGGCATCTTGCAATCACGAGGGTGGCATACATAGCGACTGCAAGAATCCTGAAACCATTCGGGAGCTGTGTGGCTCAGAAGTCGGAATCAACCGTCAGACAGTAGATCATGGGGCCCAAAGAACAGCTACCGCCGACAAAACAGTAAGCGGTGGTCTACAGCATACCATGTCGAGGCTTCGATGCAAGGTATATCGGTGAAACGGGCAAACGCCCTGGCACCAGGTTGCATGAGCATCAGCTCGCAATCAATCGCAAGGATAAGCTGTCTGTGGTCTATGGGCACGTACAGCAAAAGAACCACAGTAAAAGACACTATAGCAGAAACGGGTGATTTATGCACCAGCATTTGCAGTATTTATAGGATACAGTCCCTGTGCTACTGCAGAAAGTTGACGACTCCTCTTAATTGTCCGCTTGTGTGCTAATTGCTTGGTGTCCGGCATGCGGGCCTTCGCTTGCTGAACGTTCATCACACGTGGTGGCATTTGACGTGATGATTGCTCGGCCAGCTGGCCCCCCTCGGCGCGGAGGTTAGACGATGCGTTGGCCTGTGCGTTCCACACTGATGATTTACTTTGACCAAATTGAGCATCATCACCGAATATAGATTGGAGAGGTCTTTGCACCGTTAACCATGACTCGGGTACCTTGCTACTCACACGCTTGTCACTTTTCTTGAGAATTTCGGCCTTATCAAATTTGAATGTGTGATTGGGTCGCGTGGAATGAGCCGCAACTTGAGAATTGACGTCATTTTCCGCAATGCTACCACTTGTTCGGAAATTCACGTCTTGAGAAGTCTTCCAGGTTCATGCTTTGTCCACAACCACACCAGATCCTATTAACGACTCCATATGCTTCTTGCCCTGGCAGTGGGTTCTTCTGTTTCATTACCTGACGCCTTATGGTTGCCTCCGGCCTGTGTGCGACTCCAACTCCAAATGTTGTGAGAAAATGGCCGACAACCTCCGAGACATTTTTGAACTACAGAATCGCTCGTAAAAATTTGGAGTCGGCGCGATTTTGTTTTACTTTCCTCGTTTTTTTGCCGCATGCATCGGTTGACGAAGCAGCGCGGGGTAGCCATTCTCTCTGATTGCTCGTCGAAGATTTTATATTTCGACAACTTCGGCGTCTGGTTCACTGCAATGCGTCTCAATACATCGATAAAGCGTGCTTGCGCAACTGCTTTTGTGGCTTAATAGGTGGTCGCTGTTGAAAAATTCAACAGCGACCACCTATTAGGTGAACAGAAGTCTTGGTACAGTGACCATATCTATTTCTCTCGAATGTGATCCTGGGAGTCGCATGTTCGCTTGTATTGGCAAACTTCAGTACTGCTTTTAAAGCACACTGTTGCAGAAATAAAGGACAAGAATTAGTTGCTCACCTGCGGCAGCAGCTCCCAGAAATTGTAGGAATCCGGCACCTGTATGTGAATCGCTGTTACCTCGATCCAGGCATTGTCAGAATTCACTTTGTCGCTAAGGCACCCCATGACCTCCTACACACAAGAAAGTCAAAAACCATGGACTGTTAAGAGAGAGATTGTACAAAGTGAGTCTACATTAAAAAATTAGGTCCAAACATTTTAAAACTGATATTCGTTTGAATACGACTCCGACTTTTTCTGAATGCAAAGCATGCGGACACTCCAATGGTGGCACTCACTAGAGGAATAGCCTGTTGTGTAAACAAAACAATAAAGGAAGTCATGCTTAACGAACGAACGGTTTGGATTGCTCACTATCAGTCTGGTACAAGGGAGAGTTTAAGCAACTAATATGTACTAATTAGGAGGTCAGGTGTTAAGGTGTTGGGACAGTCCGGACGCGAGTTATCACTCGGACAATCCCGA